CATCTAAATTGCCTATCAGTGGCTAAGCGGTCTTCGTACCCTAAACACTGGGAGTTCGGTCATTGGTTCGCGCCTCGCTCGGACGGGCTGGCCACATGGAGTTTTCTGGGTATTCTCCACGTCTGTAACGCCTAAATAGGGGCCAGTTTCCCTTAAAAAGACCTCCTAGAAGGCATTCCCCCTAGGCAGATCGCCCAAGTGTTGTGTTGCCGTAACTTAACAAACAAACTAACTAACACCTAATAGGGACTAGTTTCCCATAATCACGCTTCCCGGGAGGCAATCCTCTTTGGCAGATCGCCCATTTGTTGCGTTGCCCTATTCCATTAACAAAACCCCAATAGGAGCAACTTAGTCGGGCGACGGATCTCGACATATCCGGGACTAGTCACCCATTAAAATTTCTCAGGTTATTTTTGATCGCTGAGATTCAATTCCGGATCTTCGAAAGCATCAGGCTGATGCATTAGCTGCCTCGGCCATTTGACCGTCATTAAGTTTTATTAGTATGAATGATACCTAATAAATGCTTGGATACATTTCTTGATATTTAAGAGCATTTCGAAAAAATATTTATTAAATTATAATACGATATTAAAATGAAATGCCGAAAGTAATAAAAGACTTAAGCTACACTCCATATTCATTACTTTTACTCATAGAAACGATCTGAAATTTCGTGGTGTCGTCTACCTACAATAAGAAATCAGATTTCAAATCCAATTTGGATTCTCATNTTACATTGAATTTTATAGGATATCTTAAAATAGTTGTACATAAGCATTCATTTTTAATTTATAACTTAATATGAAAATTTTCTACTTACGTTATTACAGAAGTTGTGAATAAATCCAATTTGTTGGACACGTGTTGTGATGGACAGATGTGTCCAAAAGGTTACGTTTTAAATCAATATCGTCCTTGTTCGTGTGATATTTTATCTACACTCCATATTCATTACTTTTACTCATAGAAACGATCTGAAATTTCGTGGTGTCGTCTACCTACAATAAGAAATCAGATTTCAAATCCAATTTGGATTCTCATAATTTTTCATATAATTCAGATCTATGCATCATTCCCAATCTCTTATTTATTTTGATGAACAATATTATTGGTCAAACAAATTCACAGTGGATAAAATTGAGTCAGTGGTATGGCCTATAATAGTTGAATAACCGAATATCTGTATAATGGACGATGTTCTATGATAGCAAAAAATGTAATCAAATTAGTTTTCTACTTAAAACTAACAATTCAGAAAATAAACATCTGGATTCTGTTCTTTGTAAATATCTTTTAATATTACTAATAAGTTTTCAGTATGAATTGTTGTATCAAAATATCATTTTTATATTAATGTATTGGACTACTACATTTACTTTATAGTGGAAACTTTAAAGGACAACAGCCATACAGAATAGGAAAGCCATGCACCGAGTGTACAGAGAGTGATGGAGGATTATGTTCTAATAAATTATGTGGTAAGTATGCATACATTATGGAGTTAAGAAAAACATTAAAAAATATATATTTTAAAGAATGTAATTCAATTTTTAGCGGTCACATTATAAATATTTGAAATCATTGTACTTTGTAGATAAGGGGTTAAAACTAAATTTCATATAATCTTTTGAAATTTTATTTTAGAAGCTTGAATAAAAGAAATGGTAGTTTTGAAAAATTTTAAATAATCTGTATCATAAATTGAAAACACCACTAGCAACACTCCAGCACCGTGCAATTTTTAGCAGTAGCGTTGGAGGCAAATTTAAAAAATTTTTGTTATGATAGAGATCATGTCAAGTCACTATCGAGGTTTCCCTTTCAGAGTGTTTCATATTTTGGCTTTGTGTAGTAAAATAAGCTAGCTTTGTGTGTTCTTTGCCAATTGTTATGTTTCTTTGTGTGAATTTTTAATTCGAAGGCGAGATTTATTTTCTTTTTTTAATAACTCGCTCACTGATCCCCAAGTAACTTTTAGAATGGCGAACATAGAGGATACATAGAGCTAAATCTTCGATAGAAATTTTTCCACTTTTTAAAAAGTCACTGTAAGAGGCGAACAGCTGAGGAATTGAGTTGGTAAGACAACCGTAAATAACATCAAACAGAGGAAGCGTAAGTGTCTGGATAGGTTTCAAATTAAGTCTGGAGATATGAGCAGAAAAAAGAGATGCGAATGGATTTGATGACATAATAATAATCTATTTATTTGGAAGATGTTTTTGGAAGTGTCCTGAAAGAGTTTAATAAGGGAAGAATTTATGCCTTTGTTTTCATCTTACAAGACATTTATGATGTGCTGGAGAAAATAGCCTCTTGCTATGCAACTACTGTACTAGCTGTCCTGAGATTCTTATGCCAATATATCAAGCAAAGAAAATTGTAGCTGAAGAAATTTTTGAAAAACAAAATTCTAAAGCAATCCAAGATTGATGAATGTTTCGCAAAATATTGAATTTGTTGCATTGTTTTTTCTTTTGTGAGTTTTTGTTTAGAATACTGTATAGAATTCAATTGTTTTGTGTTTCTCTTACATTTCATATTAAATTTCATATTTCTACTTAAGTGATTTGCTTTTTTCTACTTTTGCTTATTTTTACTTAAGTGATTTCATTCAAGAACACCTAAATTCCTCTTTCTGCATAAAGTGACCACTTCGGTGGTCACATTAGCAGTTAGTTAATACAATATATAAACGCATTTGCTTCCTCAATCAGATTAAAATCTTATATAATATGTAAAATTTAATTATATTATTATATGTAACCTGTTTAATTTAACTTTTGAATTGAATGCGAAATAGCTTTCTAGAAAGAAAAGATTTTTTTATATAAACGTATCATCAAAATATTTCATGAAATTCAAGTTTCTAAAATACTTCTTATGAAATCATTAAGGTATTATAAGTTACTTCATTACATAGAAATAATATTTAAATCTATGCCTTTTAAGTAAAATATTTGTTCATTTATTGTAATGTAATACAGCAAATTGGCTTTCGTTTTATTGCCAAATAAAAATTACTTTGAAATTTTATAAGTTATGTTTATAAACGTTCTAAAACTTTCTATCCATTATGCATGGCATAAGGTGAGATTTATTATTCGACATTTTAAATGCAATTAATGAAATGTATAATTATTAAATTAATAGAGAAACTAATTTACTTTTTGTTAAAAAATTTTTCANAAATTTTAAATAATCTGTATCATAAATTGAAAACACCACTAGCAACACTCCAGCACCGTGCAATTTTTAGCAGTAGCGTTGGAGGCAAATTTAAAAAATTTTTGTTATGATAGAGATCATGTCAAGTCACTATCGAGGTTTCCCTTTCAGAGTGTTTCATATTTTGGCTTTGTGTAGTAAAATAAGCTAGCTTTGTGTGTTCTTTGCCAATTGTTATGTTTCTTTGTGTGAATTTTTAATTCGAAGGCGAGATTTATTTTCTTTTTTTAATAACTCGCTCACTGATCCCCAAGTAACTTTTAGAATGGCGAACATAGAGGATACATAGAGCTAAATCTTCGATAGAAATTTTTCCACTTTTTAAAAAGTCACTGTAAGAGGCGAACAGCTGAGGAATTGAGTTGGTAAGACAACCGTAAATAACATCAAACAGAGGAAGCGTAAGTGTCTGGATAGGTTTCAAATTAAGTCTGGAGATATGAGCAGAAAAAAGAGATGCGAATGGATTTGATGACATAATAATAATCTATTTATTTGGAAGATGTTTTTGGAAGTGTCCTGAAAGAGTTTAATAAGGGAAGAATTTATGCCTTTGTTTTCATCTTACAAGACATTTATGATGTGCTGGAGAAAATAGCCTCTTGCTATGCAACTACTGTACTAGCTGTCCTGAGATTCTTATGCCAATATATCAAGCAAAGAAAATTGTAGCTGAAGAAATTTTTGAAAAACAAAATTCTAAAGCAATCCAAGATTGATGAATGTTTCGCAAAATATTGAATTTGTTGCATTGTTTTTTCTTTTGTGAGTTTTTGTTTAGAATACTGTATAGAATTCAATTGTTTTGTGTTTCTCTTACATTTCATATTAAATTTCATATTTCTACTTAAGTGATTTGCTTTTTTCTACTTTTGCTTATTTTTACTTAAGTGATTTCATTCAAGAACACCTAAATTCCTCTTTCTGCATAAAGTGACCACTTCGGTGGTCACATTAGCAGTTAGTTAATACAATATATAAACGCATTTGCTTCCTCAATCAGATTAAAATCTTATATAATATGTAAAATTTAATTATATTATTATATGTAACCTGTTTAATTTAACTTTTGAATTGAATGCGAAATAGCTTTCTAGAAAGAAAAGATTTTTTTATATAAACGTATCATCAAAATATTTCATGAAATTCAAGTTTCTAAAATACTTCTTATGAAATCATTAAGGTATTATAAGTTACTTCATTACATAGAAATAATATTTAAATCTATGCCTTTTAAGTAAAATATTTGTTCATTTATTGTAATGTAATACAGCAAATTGGCTTTCGTTTTATTGCCAAATAAAAATTACTTTGAAATTTTATAAGTTATGTTTATAAACGTTCTAAAACTTTCTATCCATTATGCATGGCATAAGGTGAGATTTATTATTCGACATTTTAAATGCAATTAATGAAATGTATAATTATTAAATTAATAGAGAAACTAATTTACTTTTTGTTAAAAAATTTTTCAGTGACAAGAAATCAATGTAAACAATACGATTTAAATTGTGGTAAGTCAGATATGATGATTTTATAAGTAAATTATATTTTCCTCGAAATTCGCTTATTTTAATTAAGCATTTAACATATTTACAGTTTATCTTAGTAGTGAATGCTTTAGCATATTCTTTTTCAATATATAATTTTTAATTTATATTATTTTTAGAGTGCAACCTGAACTGTTATAATTGCGGGACATTGAATAAGGAAAAATGCAAATGTGAATGCAAAAGAGGATGGGATGGAATTGATTGTTCAAGTAAGCAAAATTTGTTGAAATATTTTCGTAAATTTGTATTCATATTAAAAATAAAGTCTTACTTTTTAATTTGTTTCTTTTCACTACTTTTGGCCAACTCCGCTGCCAGTCAGCCTTTATATTAAAACAGTAATTTAATTTAATAAATGATTTTATATAATTTGGATATTTTATGAATATTTTTAATGTTTTTCCTTGTGTTAAATAATTGGTTTTTTTTATTATTATTAAAATAGTTCCGTGTGCTGACGAAAATCAAAACTGCAGACCTTGGATATGCAATAGTCCTAATTTTAATAAAAATGGGAGTGACAAGATGATGATCCTAATTTTTTCCTGTTTTTAATATTTGATTGTAGAATCAATCTTTGAATAGAGAAATTTTATTAGCACACCAATTTATAGATCAATAAATAAATACATTT